CTAGGTCCAAAGAATAGTCTTCAAGTTGAAAAATCACCACCGTCAATTAAGACACGTGTTCGGCAGAGATGAGAGGACAAGAGTGTTGAATCAGCATGGCCGGTTAAGCCGGACCGGCAGCATCGGGTCCGCAACGGGCTGGACCATACCATGTGACTGGGACAAGCCCATCTGCCCACCGGCTAACTCTCCGCTCCAAGCTCCTCTCTCTCTCTAACTTGTCAAGATCCACAGAGGTCTCTCTCACTTGTCTTTTGTCCCTAAATATTCCCTTTCCCCCATCTCTTTCTCTCTCTCCCTCTCTCTCTCTCTAACGTCGTCTCCAATTCTCTATCTACCAATAATAATTCTTTCATTTTCTTTTTAACGCGTGTTCCTCTCTCTGTCGTGTTCCTCTCTCTGTCTCTAAATAATGTTATATCCCCTAGGACTCTCTCAGATAAAATTTAATATATGAGCAATTTTAGGACTCTAAACTTTGAAAATGTAACCTCCTCAAACTATAGACTAAACTTATTACAAGTATTTCTGAATGGAGCTCTCTAAGTAATAAAAAATAAAATGTCTCAAAGTTTGAATAGAAAAAATAAAATGTCTCTAAGTAATAAAAAATAAAATGTCTCAAAGTTAGATCTAAGTGTTAAAAAACTTAAAATTTATTTATTTTTATTTTAGAAAAAAAACAAATTATTAACCCCGCCCCAAGTTAAAATGCGTAACAACGAAAATTCCCCTACCCATGCACCTTGATGTCATATTTCTGCCAGATTGTAACCCAAATCGTATGACACTGATTTGTTAGTCAAAACAAATGCCGGACCACGATTGAAAACTGCCAGACCGCTCTAAGAAAGTGCCAGACCTCAAGTAAGAATGGTCGAATCATGGTTTATCACAAGATTTTTCCAATAAATACTTATTTTTTTCCATTTATTTTACAAATTCAACTTGATTGCACAGTCTTTTCAATGCATGGAGAACAAATTCACCAAAATTGGTGTTTTGAATTGTAAGGCCTTGATTTTCGATTGCTTTTGTTGCTTCTTTACCAAGGGTAGGAAGTATAGATTCAAGATAAAATTGTTTTAAATTTACATCATCTATTTCTCCTATCTTATGTTATCTTTTATTCATCTCTGAAAAATGTTTTTTAAGATCTTGTCTCTTAAAAGAACAACATTTGAGCGGGAAAAATTCTTCTCTTGCAGCAATTTGTTCATGTTTCATCGAGCCTGAGAATTCGTTATCATCTTGAATAGTGATTCATCCTCATCTTGAACAGTGATTCGTCTTTTAATCTGTGTCATAGTTTAGATGATAGCCATCAGAATTATAACTTGGTGAATAATGATTGGATGGGCTATGTGAGGGTCCAATGTAG